AATCCAGGGCGGATGTTCTTTCGACAGTGGGGAGTAGCTTCCCAAATGTGTCACAAATGTGGAGATAATCTCTTTCCGGAAAAGGCTTAAAAATCTAAAGATGACCCCAAAGAGCTGTGAAATGTCAGCAGCATATTCTGACAAATCTGTGCAAGCCAAACAGACGCTGCTATAAAGAATACCCATCTTCAATAATATCTTTTTATCGCACTACAAAGACTTCTCAATCTGATCTCTTCCCATCTGTTATAATAGAAGAGGCGACCTATTTTAAAAGCGCTGTGTAATTAATCATAAGGCAGCAGCAAACATTAGGAGAGGGGGAAGCGTCTGAAGGCTCCCACTGTGACTCTCAGCCCTCCCGAGTTGGCATTTTTCTCTCTTACTCGGCTATCCTCCATTGCTTTCTCTTTTGCTTTGCTCTCAAGTTAAATTCATACCCTCCCATCTTTTAAATGTGTTTTTCTTTTCTCATTTTTTTTTAGAATTGCATCCAGCCAGGCTAATTAAAACCGCAAACTACTTTAGCTGTAGAAGCAAAACTTGTGACAAATATGAGGAGCTGGAAAATGGGCAGCTTTTAGTTCAGCTACAAATCCATATTATGCAAACTGTGTGCTGTTACCATACAATAAAACAGTAAAACATGCCTTAACCTTAATCTTAAAATATGCCTTAACCTGAATTTTGAGGTATGATGTATTGTTGAAGAAAATATAGACAATAAACAATAATACTGAAACAAATTTATACCACTGACATAATAACCCCATAAACCAAATGTGTAATAAATAAAAACAAACAGCAATAAATTAAAAGCAAAATGAAATACTTAAGTAGTTATTTTGTATCTATAATGAGATATATAAGTTATTTATTCAACCCTCCCCAGCTCAAATATGATCATAGTACAGAAAAATAACAAAAAGTTCCTTGCTAGCACAAAGAAAAAGTCTCCATGATGAATATTGACCCCCAAAAATTATTGTTCCATCTAACTTATATGAAACAATAAATCAAAATAAAAATTATCGTGACAGGCCTATCTTAACCTTGACATATGAGCGAGGCATATTAAAGGAATTTTTGGACAAATTCCCCCATAACAAGATGAAAGTAGCTTGATATATTAGTATCATGTGGGGCAACTACAACTGATGTTGTACAGAACCTTTTACTTATAAATTTGCTGTGTGGAGTGTTTGGCAGTGGTCAGAGGGGCACTGGAATGAATAAATAATGCACTGTAAAGAGCTTTGTGTGTCTTAAAAAAACACTATATAAATCCTGGACATTAATATTCTTGGATTACAGTGTTTTAGGCATTGTGTTTGTTTCTATTCACAAGAAGAAGTTACTGTATGATCCATAATTGCTGACTAAGTCTTTTCACTGTAGATGTAACGCCACCTGGACTGCAGACTACAGCTGGCATGGGTCCGCTCTCATTTGTGCCTAATAAGTCGTTACTAATTGTATGGAGATCGGATCAATGTCCCCTCCCTGCTGCAGCTCCACAGCCCAGTTCTCTTTGTGCACCACAGCCACCATTTATCAACGCTCCCACATAGAGGCTGAGCAGAGGGGCTTCTTATCACATTATAGGGGTGAGACCTGGTCAGTCAGACAGTGTCAATAAAGACCTCTATGGAGAGAGAAAAGGGTTGAAAAGTTATGCAGGTTAAAGCTATAGGTTTAGTGGTCCTGTGGGTTACAGAGTCAACATTAATAATTTCTTCAAGATGTGCTATTCAAAGTATAATCCAGTTAACCAATGATAAAACATGGATTACATTAGGACAATATTTAGTCTAACTGGAGCTACAATAAGGCTCAAGCAGCAGTATGCCATGCAAAAAGCATAACTTTTGTGGACAAATGGAGGAATAAGCCCTATCTAATCCAGATCTTTAATCAAAAAACATTAGCACATAACCCAGAGTAATCTTCAGACAGCCCCACTTACTGGCAATTTACTGTGAAATGACTTGTGTGTGTTTGGGTTTTGCACAGATGTGCTTTGTTTAACTGTTACAAGCCAAATGAATGAAATGAATATTTTCCCTTTTTTTTTTTTAAGAAAAGAAAATGTAAAAAAACTGGTGTAAAATCTTTGTAGCTTTATTTTTTTGTCATTAAACTTAGAAACAACAAATGTACATTAGATAGACTCATTACATTCGCTGAAAAATATTGAGATTCTCCAGTTGTGCCCACAGTAGTGCAGTTTGAGAACCTCTGCTTCTGAGGTTTATTGGCTACAGGCAGAGATGACCTGGTCCTGAGCTGTCAGACACACTGAGTGCACCACTGCCTCTGGATCTACCGCTCCAATCTGGGCTCTTATTCAAACTGGACACACTTATATTAATATGGTCCAATGCCAGAGTCGCTATAGAAATGTGTTCACACTCTCCTGGCTGCCAGGGCCATATAGGAATTGGATGTCCTCAGCTTTGAACTTAAAATATTATCATCATCATATAATTTTCAAATAATATTCTTTTCCATATTACGATAACCCCTTGCAGTATTCAAATAAGGATGCTATTTTAAATAGAAGGAAAAGTCACCTTGCTCATTCAAAGTAGGTGCATACATTTGTATGTATTATGTTTGTTTTCTGAACAGTTGGAGAGACCCAATTATTTTCAAAGCTTTCCTGTATGTAGCAGAGGCAATATTGTCAAGAATTGAAATCTCAATATTTTTTGCTATTATAATGATGATCCTTGCCTGTAAAGGCATTGGTTGAGGTCTGAGTATTTTGAGTATGATTAACTATAGAAGTGCAGAAATATTACTTTTTTATTTGCAGTTTTTCATGTTGTAAACCAAATACTACTTACTCCTTAATTTTCTGGATACCTCCAAAACATGTCTTTGGATATTTTCTTCTAATGAAGACAATATATCAGCCACCTATAGTATACTGTGCACTACAACAGTATGGAAATGAAGTCTGCTCAAACCAACCTATGGGGTAATTTAGTGTGAAGAATGCACACTGTGTTACAAAAGAATATATAAAATATAATCCGAGTTCTTTTTGCCCATTGTTTCTCTGACATCTCCACAAGTTTACTGAAAAATACTTTTGTTCCTGCAAGTAATTTTCTACAGATAATGAAAACAGACTTTGGCTTCATTGTGTTCTCGTTAGAAATGTTATTGCTGCAGAGCGCTGAAGCAATCTCCAAATGTATTAATATTTGAACCATGTAAAAAAATGTTTGCCTATGCCTGTTCTGTCTTCCTTCTCTTTCTTGCCCGTAGTGAGTTTTTGACCCTTATTTTTAGACATGCCTCTCTCAGCAAACAGCAAATATCTATCAGCTAATCATTAACCTTTAGATGATATTCAAATTCAAATCACGTACGGCTCTGTTTTTCCCTTAGTCGCTGTTGATTTAAGAAATGAGCCTGTCTCTAATGGTGTTTCTCATTCCGGGAATGACTTTTATGTATTTTCAAAGACAACCTCTCCATCATCTCCTCCTCTGCTCTGGACCCTCACTATGTTAAACAGGAAATTGAACAGCAGGAGTCAGGGTCAGGCTAGTTCGCATACATATTCCCGTCCACAAACACACACATAGGCACTGTGCTTTAAGTCTGCCCCCATACATCATTAATCTGTTATTATGGAGAAGCGGCAGTGTACTAGACAGCCAGGCAGATTGTGTCAGGGGCTGCAATCCTATCAGGACTACAGTAATAAAAAGATACTTAATCTAACTTGTTCCCCATAGTGCAAAAAACATTGTGGAGTAACCGTCCTTGTCAAATCCTGCTCCTCCTACTGTCCGATCGTATACTATAAGAGTAATAATTATGTCTTAATCTCCTCTATCTCCCCTATTCACTCCAGTAAAGCAGCACTGAATTACTGCCTGGCGATATTAAACATGTTTATGAGTTTCGTTGTAAAGGAACTATGCATAACGGGACCCTGATTGGTTAATTTATGAGGACCTTGGCGGAACAGAGGAGCTGGGATGTGAGTTGGAGGTAGCCCTGTCCTTCGCCTGTCCAGAATCACACATGATGAATAAGGCTATGACAGCTGTAACAACAAGCCATTTGTTTGTGTACAAAGTCATAGGTAGAGATTGTTATGCGCACTAAAATAAGCTTGAAAAATTTAAAAGATTTACACAGAGTTTAATTTTATTAAAGAATGTGAAATTTTGTCACTACTGAATAAAAAATATGGCTTTAAACAGACATTTTAACAGACATAAACTTAAATAGCTTCAGGCAGCTTCAATCCTTCATACATTCTTGCTTTGTCAAGTTTTATCTGTGTTATCCAGTCTGTATAATCCATTTCTTAAATAGACTTTTAGCAACTTTCCCTGCAGCCATTATCCAACAGTCGATCAGAAGCTTGTATGCAAATTAATATTACGGTGTTTTTATAGACTATTGTTTCATTCATTGTCATTCATAACTCATAATTCCCAGTTTTAATAGTTTACTCTCTGTTCATTTGGAATGCCATTTTTCTATTTTATCTCTGGGTAAAGTTTATTTTAATTTAGTCAATTATACATTTTCCATATGGATATTTACTGCTTGGGACAGTGCATGTTAATGGTCATACATGGTAGTTATATGAATGTAGACACAATGTATTCTAGCTACTTGTACTTTTACTCTTTATCATGGATCTTAAAGGTGCACTATGTAACTTTGTAGTGGAGAGTCCACCACCTGCCCGTCTGCCAATTAATCACATTGAACTCATGTATTTCGATGGACACAAGTGGTCAAGGTATTTGTTTACCAATGTGCATTGTGTGCATTGAATAAATGCAAGATAGGTAAGTGTAAAGCTATACTGTGGAACATTCCCAGCAATGCTGAAAAATCTTCATAGTGATAGACCCTCTATCAGAAAAGTTCCATGATGCACCTGTAATTCTATACACTTTTCACTGCTCTTTTTTGTTGGGAATCAGTTATAAATACATTTCTGTGTCTCTTTGTGATTGCAGGAGATAGTAACCCGTGTCAAACCAACCCTTGTCTCCATGGTGGCAGCTGCCTGCAGGAGGGCGACGGTTATAGCTGCTACTGTCCGCAGGGCTTCTCAGGAGAGAGCTGTGAGATTGGTGAGTGGGTCGAGCGTGGGTCACACCTCACACAGGCTGCAGCTGTGCCACACCACACAAGAGAAGCTGGCATATGTCACAGGCACCAGATGTATCATGACAAAGAACCTGGGAGAGCACAACAGTGGATTTGGAATCTTGGCTCTGGTATCTGTAGGTTTGGTTAGCATTGGAGGTCAGTTTGAAATATTCTCCCAGCAAATTGCCAGATCTTGGTAACAAACTGCTGAATGACTGTATTCATTAGAAACCCTTGACAATACGATCTCATCAAAATACTACCCCAGAATCATGGCAGTCTTCCAAGGCAATCTGATCAAACAAAGCTCACTGAAGGAAATAGTCTTTAGGAATCATGTGTAAACAGGAACTGGCAGTCGAAACAATATAACAGCATTTGTTTTAAGGGTGCATGCAACATTTCTGGTGGAGTGTTCGCCACCTGGTTTTCTCCATGGAGATATTGTTCCTTTGTCTGGAATGTTTCACTCTATGGCATATATCTTGCATCTTTCTATAGCTTGCCTTAGTTGGTTACACCAAAACTTGAACATAAAGATACGTTGTGAATGCACGCTAACAAAACACAACACCATCTAATGTTTACATGAGAAAAGAGTATATAAAGTCAGTGTAGAATAATGTGTAGGACTTTTAAAGGGCCCATATTACACTATTTTCTGATCTATGTTATAATGTTATTTCCTTACCAAAAACAAACCTGGAGTTGCAGATTGTTTCATTCACACATGTTTTAAAACACATATCCTGCACATTTAGGCAGAGTTCATCTCTTAAACAGAAAACACTCCACCTTGTGATGTCATATCGTAGTACAGGAAGTTCTCCACTGTGTTTGGAATAATTTGGATCATTTTAGTCGTGGAATTGCTGATCTCTGCTGAACTAAAGGTAAGATGTAGCTGTTAACTTGAAAACTACCACTACATGACACCACAATGTGGAAAAGAGCATTTTTAGGTTTGGAGATACAGAAAGTCTAACAAACAGCACTATATATGTTTTTGAGGAGGTAACAACATTATAACATGGCTTAAAGGCTACTAGACATTTAATCAATCACGATGTTTCAACCGTTTATGTATATGTATCCAGTGTATGCATAATAGATGTTTTTGTGGGTAAAATATTAATGTTTTGGGTGAAACTGGAAAGTGAATGTGGCATGTGCATATGCTACAGTCAGTGGTGACACAGTACTGCAGCCTCTGGAGCAGTGTGCCGCTCATCTCTCCATTCAGCTGTGTGATAGGAAAATGTGTCTGTCAGGACGGCTGTGCACTGTTTTACTGAGAAAGAGAGAGGGAGTAAGAGAGAGAAAAAGAGAGAGAGACGAGAAAGGACACAGCGAGAGGTGGAGCGGCTGATTAAAGCAGTCGACTAGAGCCACATGTGACTCAGGCGGGAGGCTGGAGAAATGTGCTGCGTGTACTTATCAAAGAATATCAAAGTCATGTTTTTCTCACTTCCGAAATAGACTGATGGAAATGCACTATAGGTTTAAGCCCCTCAAGGTTCAAGAGAGATTTAAGACATCAAAGTTTGCCGCATCAAATCACACCAGATGTTTTTCAGTTTGGAATAAGATCATATCATTGCTCTGCACTGAAGTAAACACAAGATTGGATGCTAAGGAAAATATTTTTGCATATTTAGCGTACGAATGGCTGAAAAGATTCTCAAGGGCTGCTGTGGCAGAGTAGCTCGTTATCTTGGATGCTATAGATTTTGGTCATTCCAGATATTCTTCCTATATCAGTTGAGTGAATGAAAGAATAATTGTTGTTTGGGTGTGTTTAGTACAAACTTCATGAGTATAGCTCTTATTGCTTTAGGATCAATGTATTTAATTAGTATGTCTCCATCCCTCCCTCTCTCTCTCAATCTATCTCTTTATTGCTCTACTCTCGACTCTCTTTGTGTTAGTCAGGGTAATTTTATTCATGTGTATAATTTTTATTTCTTTAAGATCAACCATGTATTTAGTATGCATCCTTCCCTCCGTCTGTCTCTTTCTCTCTGTCTCTCTCTCTCTCTCTACTTTCTTTGTGTTGTTTAGGGTAATTTTATTCATATAGAGACAATAGGCTGCTGTTAATCGTTTGAGGGTCATTACTTATGGAAGGGGTCATAGATCAGGGGTCAAAGGTCAAACTGAACCACATTGCTCATTGTGTAATTATCAATAACCTTTAAAGCCTTAAATCCCATCCCAACCTCGTATTATGCAACATTTATCTGTCCTGGTGCATTGATATTATTGGAGATCGTTGAACATGTTGGTGTATGGTCGATAACTTGTGATGAATGCACAAGGAGGTCTTTGATTGCATAGACATGAGATTTGTAATGATTGCGTGTTGTTGTATGTTAAATAAACGAGGACACATGTGTAAACAAAATACCAATATTGATCCACAGACAAAAATGATGGACTATGATGCCCTTGGGGTATAATATGACAAAATTAATTCATATATTTATTTACAACCAGGCCTGACACTATAACAAATTTTGAAGTATGATATATCGCTGAAGAACTATAGACAATAAACGATAATACTGAAACTAATTTATGCCACCCAAAAACCCAAGAACAGATTTAAACCACAAAAACTATTCTAAATGTACTATATTGTTTTAAAAAAAAACATGAGCTACAATAAATAAACAGCAGAATGAAACACTTAAGTACTTAGTTTGCATCTGTAATGAGTCACTAAAGTTATTAATTCAACCTTTTACAGATTAAATCTTATCATATTGCTTAAAAATAACAAAAAATTCCCCAGTAGTACATGACAGGCCTAATTGCAACTAAATCTGTCAAAAAAAGACCTGAAAAAATATTACACCAATAAAACAAACAGATGAGATATTTTGTTTTTATGGCAATTATGAGGATAAATTACAAAGATTTGTTATATCCAATAAAGTCAAAAGATCCAATCTAACCACTTATGAAATATTAAAATATTACCATTTCTCATCTAAATTGTGATAATTGAAGCATAGCTACTTGAGACTAATTTTTTTCTCCTGCTTAACAGTCATAATTGGGTTTTAGTTTGTTTCATTATGTATTGAAAGTGCCCCAAATCTTGAAAAGTGTATTATGTTGCCAAAACAGCTGCTTATCTGATGTTTTATATTAATTACAGGCTGCTGGCATAAAGGTTAATTGCCTCTTACTAAAAACACTTGACCACACTGGGAGGAGAAACAGAGCTTTTGTCAAGGAATTAGGAAGGATTGTAGGTACCTTTGTCTCTACTTTTGTTCCTTAGACCTTGACCATAGTCATATTGAATATCTGTTTTAGGTTTTAATTGAGTTGGAGTTTGGGGCTTCACTGGCAGAGAAAGGTTTCCAGGCCAGTATTCTCCAGTGTTGTGAGAATTGAGGCAAACTGAACCGGTGCCACCACAGCTGCAGCACCTTGGAGCTTGTCAGTAGGACTTTGGCTTTTAGCAGCGATTATTTGGGGAGCAGCGTTTTGGAGGGTTGCATTATTGATGGGCTGGTTTTCTGTTAATATTTATGAGTGCAGGGCTCAGAGAGGGGCTGAAGTGTGCACAGTTCTCATCTGTATTCTCAATGGGACGACTCTATCTGTGTGTTATGTGCAGCGTTAGACAGCGTCACAAACTGAGGCTCCATTTGAAAACATCATTGATCATCATCAGCGCTTTGTAAAGTCCAGATCCAGTGGCAGAAGCAGTGATTAATGGGACAGACAAGAGACATGGCTGTGTGTTCAAACTTAAGAGCTGTGTTGTCTTTCACACAGCTGGAAATGTTTATGCACAAAATAATGTTGAAGTGCAGTTGTAAATAGTAGTGTCCAATCTCCAAATAAAAGCTGATCGTTACTCTACAGCAGCGGTCTCCAACCTGTAGCTCAGGATCTACCAGTACCTCTCCATCCCCTTCCAAGTAGCTCGCCAGTGCATTCTGCATTACACATATTTTGCTGAATAAGTAAAATTTGATAAATTAAATGCCTTTTACCATTGTCCGTGTATCATTTTGATGCCTAACTTTGTACACTAATAAATGGACAATGGTTTATATTTTATATGCATCTAACAGTACTTCGTTTAAGGCTTGCCGTGGCTCTTATATATGCTCTATTTCTTAAACCTATCTAAAACTAGTTGCTTTCTGGCATTTTTGTTTTGTGAAAGTAGCTTACTGGAGGAAAAAGGTTGGAGACCCCTGCTCTACAGTAATTTTACAGATACAAAGTTTTATTTTTTTCTTCTGCACATTTTGATATTTAACGTTACGTAATAATATATAGTTTTTCTTTTTATTTTAAGACGCACATATTGAAGGTAACTTTTTCAATGGAGATATTATTGTTTACCTGGAATGTTCTATGGTATGACATAGTTAAGTTTATCATTGCATTTACTGAATAACAGTTTAATGACATACTGTGTGAAGCAGCGGAGACATGCAGGTGGCAGACCGTCCGCTTAAAAAGTGCTCTAGTCCGTAGTGTATACGGTGGATTGGTAAATGGCATATCTTTGTCCTATTAATACCTGTAGTTTTGTTTACCTCACTTTTTTTCCTTTGTACTAAAATTTTCCACTGAAGATACCTGTGTAGTTTGGTTAACATACTCCATGTGTATTCATTTTATATTGTGTCTTTGTCTTTAGTTTTGTTTCAGAGGCTCAAAGTGAACTCTTCTTCCTCTTGGCGTTACCTGCAGTTTCCTTTGTGCTCTGTAGATTGTTTTGGAGAAAATGCATTAACCTCTCTCAGTCAGACTCCGTGTTCAGGTCAACAAATCACAATGATTCTAAACAGCACTGCAGTTCGAAAGTGGTTCAGCTTTGACAGCGCAGACAGCCCTCAATCACGAGCTTTCAGGAACTCACCACAAGTAATACAAACAGAGCAGAAGGTGCAGGCACTCCAAATACAAGTGCAGTGGTGGAAGGTGTTCATCTGTATGCTAATGAAAG